GGCAGGGTGATCTCTAACCTCAGAAAGAAGGAAAGGCCAGAGGTAACTGCTGGTTCTTGCCTTCCACATGTGGTCTAGGAGAAGGGCCTTCAGCCTTCGCATTTCCCTCCCAGTAGAAAGGCTGGTCTCAGCATGCGGATGAACACAGGGGCTGTAGCTAACAGGCTTTGAGAGTGCAGGACAATGGTTAGAGTCCAGACTCTTCACAGCTGGTTTCAAAATCTGACTCTGCCGTTTACTGATTACATGACTAGAGCAAGCTATTCATCTTGTGCCCCACTTCCTCACCTGTGAAATGGGAATGATAATAACAGTAAGCACCCCCAAGAATTGCTGAGAGGATTAACTTCATATGTGTTAGAATAGATGCCACAATTATAATTCCATTGGCAAAGGCATCTCTGGCTCACAGGCATGCCTCAGGCCTAATGGTGTTAAATATTTGTCTCCCTTTTTTCTGATGCAAGTTTCAACAAACAAGGTAACCCTTTCCAGGTAGGTTTGCTTACAAAGAAACTGTGCTTATCACAGAGGTACTGAGAAATGCCCATCCCAGAGCCTGCAATTTCTTATGGCAAATCAGGAAATTACCTGAGGTTGTGTATGGACCTCCCACATTGCTCAGCCACAGGTGGCAAGATGCAAGCATGATGTTGATGGAGGATTTCTAGTCCAGGGGCAGATCTGTTTTGATTTCTAAATCTTCACACCAGCAATTTGGTGCTGTTGGGGCACAGAAAACTCTTCCCCCAACTATGGTGCTTTGGCAAGCTGAGGGCTTTGAAAATTAAAAGGCCTCAGAAATAAGCCTCAGAATCAAGGTCCCTCTAACCTTGTCTTGTTCCCCTCACCCCAAGCACAGGGACAGACTTTCCCTGTAATTTCCTTATCTAAGAAAGCTTTCCTAAACAAATGCAACTGTCTTCAGATTCCCTCCCTCGGAATCTCATCAGCTGTCCAGGAAAGAACACACCAGAGGGACTGGACACACTGGGAGGCACCACCCGGGACAGACCTTTCCACAGGGTGGTACCTGCCTCTGGGCTCAGCCCCTAACAATCATTTGCTGCCCTCCATAGAAGGGCCTAACTCCCCCCCTCCCCCTCCCTGTGAAATTGGCGTGTGAGCTTCTGCACCCACTGGGAAACTGGGAAGTTGCTCTCTTGTGATACCACGTGCATTGCCCCCCCCCCCCC